TTTATAGCAACGAATGCCTACACAAAGAAATCAGCTTCAAATATATAACCTAATGATGCATCTCAGGGACCTAGTAAAGCAAGAGGACAATAAACCCACCCAAAATTAATAGAAGTAAAGAAATAACAAAGATCAGAGTAGATATAAATGAAGGTGGGGTTTACAAATTCCAAAAAGGTCAATGAAAAATTTTAACGATAAAATCAACAAACACTTAGCCAGACTAAGAATAAAGAGAGAAGATATGAACAAATCAAATCATAGATGAAAAACATACATAACAATTTATATCACAAAATAGAAAGCTCATTATAAAAAAGCATAAGATGATTAAGGGAAAACGCAAAGGTTAAATTTCTGAACACGTATTACCTAACCAGATTGAACTATGAGCCATGAAATCCACAAACAGACCAATAATCGGCAGTGAGACTGAAGTAATAAATATTTCCCAACAAATAAAAGTTCAGGATAGAATCACTTGACTATGGAATTCTATCAAACTCTACAGAAGAAATAACCACGTGGTTTTTTTTTTTTTGATCAAACAATTGATAGAGAGGGTACTCTATTTAAAACTCATTCTAGAAGACCAACATCATACTGGTTAAAATGGGGGTCACAAAATTTGATTTTTATTCTTTAGAATTTGTACAAACCCAGGTCACAATGAACTCTTTTTTTCAGAGCACACAGAAATTAACTTGTTTCTGACTCACGGAGATATGAAGTCCAAACCAACCAGACTCTAATTGCTGAGAGAAACACACAGGCTTATTTAAATTAAAGAACATCTGATTGATCTCTTTGCATCATGAATTTTATTCTATTGGGATGAGTGTGTTTCAACTTTCCTCCTACAGAGGATTTGCCTGAAACTTTTCTCTTTTTATAGGAAAAAAGAATCACATAACAAATCAAAAGTTATGGGATAATGAAAGTGTAACACTAAGGAGGATTAGCAATAATTGCCTGCATCAAAAGATTAAAGAATCAAACAAATAACCTAGAGATGCATCTCAAGGATGTAGTAAAGAGAACTAAAACTAATAGAATAAATAAAATAACAAATATCAGATCTTAAAAAGATGAAATAAGAAAACTCAATGAAATAAAGTTTTTGAAAAGATGGACAAACTCAACAAATCTTTAGCTTGATTAAGGAAAAAAAAAAGAAAAAAAATAAGTAAAATCATAAATAATACAAGACATATTACAACGGATACTACAAAAGTAAAATAGAATATTAGAAAATTTTCGAGAGACTATATCTTAAAATAAGGGAAACTTAGAAGAAATAGATAAGTTTATGGACACATAAACTACACAAATTGACATATATGAAGGCATAAAAACACAAACATACTCCAATGGATAGTGAAATTGAACCTGTAATCAAATATTTCTCAATAAATAAAGGTCCAAGATAGAATGGCTTCATTGCTAAGTTCTACTAAACTCACAGAACTAACAACATTGTGTTTAGTAAAAAGTTCCAAACAATTGTAAGAGAGGAAACTCAAACTTATTCTTCAAGTTCAGCATCATTTTGGTACAAAAACCATAGAAGAACACAGCAAATAATTACAAATAATGTTTGTAATATATAGGAAAAATTATCAAACAATACTAGCAAATAAAATCCAACACTATATCCAAAAGATCATTCACCATGATGAAGATGGATTTTTTTCAAAGGATGCATAGATGGCTTCACATTCAATAAATGTAATACATCACATCAAAACAATGAAGGATAAATGTATTTCATAAAATTCAACATCACTGCATGATAAAAACTCTGAACAGGGGCTGTGGCTGTGGCTCAGTGGTAGAGCACTTGCCTGGCATGTGTTTGATTCTCAGCACCACATGTAAATGAATAAAATAAGGTCTATCAACAACTTAAACAAAACAAACAAAACAAAGAACCCTGAACAAAACCGCTATTGAAAGATTGTACTTTAACATAATTAAGGCAATGTATGGAAAAAACACAGTCAACATGAAAATAAATGGGGAAAATCATAAAGCATTTCCCCTAAATCTAGAACAAGACAAAGGAATCCACTCTCACTGCTCTTATTAAATATAGAAGTAGAAGCTTTAGCCAGAGGAATAAACTAGAGATAGGAATAAAAGCTGTAAATAGGAAAGAGAGACTTCAAATTTTCCATGTTTGCAGATCATATGAATCTAAAAATAGAAAAATGTAAAGACTCCTCCAAAAAGCGACTAGAATTGATTAAAAAATTTCCAGGATACAATATCAATATTAAGTCAGTAGAATTTTTCTATACTAATAATGTAAGTTATGAGAAAAAAAATCATGAAAGGAATCCCATTCATAAAACCTACAACAAAAATTAAATATCTAGGAAAGAATTTAATCAAAGAAGTGAAAGATCTGTACATCTTTACAAAACACTGAATAAAGAAATTAAAGACCGCGCGCGCACGCACACACACACACACACACACACACACACACACACATGCAAAAATGTAAAGACCCCTGTCTCATTTTCATGCACTGGAAAAATTAGTACTGTTCGAAGGGTTATAAAATTCAAATAAATTTACAGATCAAATATGATACTCATGAAAAGACCAATGGAATTCTTTGTGTAAATGGAAAAAAGAAATTTATAAGGAAGAATTTATAAGGAAGCATAAAAAAACCCAAAAGCCAATATCATCTTGAACAAAAATAAAAAACTGAAGGCACCTGATTCCTAGTTTCCAGACACACAATAGAGGCAGAGTGAGCACACTAGCATGGTGCTGGCATAAAAACAGACACATTGACTGATGGAAAAACATAAAGGCCCCAGAAGTGAACTCATGCATCTGTGGAAAATGGTTCTTAAAAAAAAAAAAAGCCAAAACCATATATTGGAGAAGGTCACCCTTTTTAATACAATTGTGATAATTATAAAGCTACATGCAAAGGATTGAAAGTTGACTCTATCTTTCATCTGCACAGAATCAACTTTGTGTCAAAGACATAAAAGTAAGGCAGGAAGCTCTAAAACTGCTGGAAGAAGATATAGAGGAAATTTTGCATGAAATTGATAAAGGGATTTTTCTTTTTTCCATAGGATCCCAAAGCACAGAAAACAAAAGCAAAACTGCACAAATATTTTACATAAAATTAAAATGATCCTACATAGCAGAGTAAATAAACAATAGAGTGAAGAGTCAGCCTACAGGTTGGGATAAAATATTTGCCATCTAGGATCTTTTAGAGGGAGAACACCTCACAATCAAAGGATAACAAGGGATATCACTTCGCTGAACATATGTAGCCAGAGGAAATGATATTAGCATACTAAAGAAATGCCTGCATGTTCGTGTTTATTGTGGCACTATTCACAATAGCTAGGATGAATCAATTTAGGTAGCCATAAACAAGTGAGTGGATAGAGACAATGTGGTATATGTACACAATGGGATACTACTCATTGTTAAAGAAGAGTGAAATTCCATGATTATAGCAAAATGGATGGAACCAAGCCATTATTTTAAGTGAAATAAGCCAGACACAGAAAAACAAGTTCCATGATATATTGAATCTAAAAAAGGGTTAATATGAATTTACAGTAGTGATTACTAAAGGCTGGGTTATAGTGGGAAGGAATAAGAGCAATAAAGGGAAGTTGGATTTAATGAGATATTACCGCAACCAGGCTAATATGTAGAATTAATGCATGTTAAAATTTATAAACAGAATTGCAAACAGAGACAGAAGTAATTTCAGAGATCCACTGGCCTAGTACCTTAATTTATGATTAGTAAGAGGGTATTGGTGACATAGCAAGGTGAAATATCACCAAAGATTCAGTACAAAATCTTTTTTTTTTTTTTTTTAAAGAATCCAAGTCTTGAGGATTCTTAAATCCACAAGAACACAAGCAATAGAAGCAGTCCCATCTGGAAGAGGTGAGAGATTGGTGGAGCCATAGTTTCTCAAGCCTCTCCCTTCATTTCTCTGAGATTGTGTCTTCCTTGGTTCTGCTGACTAAGTTTCACCTCTGTACTGACATCCAGGGGAGAAGCCCTTCTGTGCCTCTTCCTTTTGTAGAATCTATGACCCAGTTTTCCTTGCAGTGAAATAATGGGTACTGATTTGAGGGGAAGCTTGTTGGTCTATGAACAGAGTCAGAGAGGTGTTTGCTTTACTTTTCTAGGGTGGCTTTGGAGGCAGCTCTGATGTAAGCCATAGCACACCATTATGGGCATTGGAGCTCATTCAAATTCCAGTTTTGATCCCTGTGAGGTGTGTGGATGAAGGTCTCTCACATTCACAGTCTCTATTTCCTCATTTGTCAAAAAAAAAAAAAAATCTCTGCCCTGTGCTCCCCAGGATTTAGGGGTTTGAGGTGTTAAATAGCAAATGCTATGTACATTTACTTAGTTACATGATGGTGTATGTTTGGTATTTCAAAATGTTTAAGTTGTATTACCTAGCTTATGCTTAAGCACTTGTGATGTTAGTTCAGCATTTAAAAATACTAAAAACACTTGATTTTCAAAGCAAAATTATCTTATTGTTTGATGAAATATTTCACGTTCAATATTTTTATAAAGAAGTCAGAGATACCCTTATTTCCCCCAAGTCATGAATTTCTAAACAGTCAATCATTCTGAGAATCCAGCATGTTGAGCAGTGTTTTGTATCAAATACTCTTTTCTTAATTGCAGCAGCACATTGGAACCACCAGGCACTGTGCGATTGTGTGTTTATTTTCTTGCCTGTTTTTAAAATGCCTATTCCTCTGATCTGTTCCAGAGTGGCAGAAGATAGAAGTTTTGAAAGAAGACAAGAGTAAACAGTTTGTTTCAACCCATATCAGGTGACCAGTGTACACTTAGAGGGAATTAGAGCTTACCTAATTCATTGGCTCAGCACTTTATGTCAATAGAACACTTGCTGATTAATAGGGAGCACTATAAAAACTTTACTTTGATTGTAAACTCACAGCTGTCTCAGTAAAAGGACAAGGCTTCAATGGATCCAGTTGTAGCCTTGGTGCTGTGTTTCTCCTGTTTGCTTCTCCTCACATTATGGAGACAGAGATCTGGGAGAGGGAAACTCCCACCAGGTCCCATGCCTCTCCCAATTCTTGGGAATATCCTGCAGATAGATATTAAAAACATCAGCAAGTCCTTAACCAATGTAAGTATGTTGAGGCTTCTCCAGTGGCTTGTAAAGGATAAATAAATTAGTCCTTAATTTTTAGTTAAATATATGCACAAGGCAAATTATTAGAAGAGATTGTTGTGCAGAAAATACTCTCTTTGGGTATTAATGTTTCCATTGCTTTTATATTTTTCACTGATAGAGGCAGTGTAATGAAACAATGCATCAGGTTTAAAAGAAATGCTTACATTTAATATTTGGAAGGCACTATTAATGTCAAAAGTCTGAAGAACCCTTGCCCTTCATTGTTTCATAGTCATTTGCCGTGATTTTCTATTTTCTGCACATTTTAATTTGTTCATGATGCTTTTGAGTGAATTTTTATTCATTTAAGTGTGTCTCTCATTTCCAGGAGTTCTGACTAGCTTCTTTTCAATATCTCTATTTCTTTATTGAAATGGTCTTTCAACCCCTTAGTTTTCTCTCTTAATTCATTCCTTAGGTCTTCCTCTGGTTTACTGAACATTTTAATAATCAGTTTTGTATCATTATTCTCTAGAATTTCACACACTTTCTTATCTGTGGAACCCTTTGGAGGGGGATTGTGAATTTGGGAAGAAGATATTTTGTCTGTTTCATCAAGTTGTCAGAGGTTTTGGACTTGCACTTCAATGGAGATGGCTTCCCCTTTCTCTTTTATACATATATCCTTTTTAAAAATTAATTTAATTTTAGTTTTTACACAAATAGAGCCCAACTTTTCATTTCTCTGGGTGTACAAAATGGAATGTTACCCAGCCTTAAAGAAGAATAAAATTATGGCATTTATGGGTAAATAGAGTTGGAGAATATCATGCTAAGTGAAGTAAGCCAATCCCAGAATAACCAAAGGCCAAATGTTTTCTCTGATAAGTGGATGCTGATTCATAATGGTGGGGGCAGGCAAGAGAAGAAGGGAGGAATTTTGGATTGAGCAGATGGGAGGGAGAGGAAGGGAGGGTGTTTGTATGAGGCGGGGAAGATTGTAGAATGAGATGGACATTATCACTTATGTCCTTTTGGGTGTAGTTATCTCCTTTGTTTTGGGACCTCTTTCTATTTTTGATATATGAGTAGATCTAGGGGTGTGACCTGAGCTTGCTGTCTGGTTGATCCTCCTGGAGGCCTGGTTGTAGGTTTGACGTTTCGTTTCCTTAATTCTGTATGTTGAAGTAATGTTGAGGCTGAACACGTGTGGGGTGAGATTCTTTGTTACTCAGCTGAGTTGTGTGTGTGGCTTGGGAGCAGGATGTCTACTCTGTGAAGCTGAAGTGACCCACTCACTTTCTGATCCCACTTAGAGGAGGCGGTGAGCCAGGAGCAGCACTATTGTTATCAACAGATGTACAGCTTTGAGACAAATGTCCAGCACCTATTTTGACATTGGTAAAACTAATTACCACCTATAGAGAAATGATGGGATCAGAAATAAAAAGAAAAAAATGTGAATGAGATCACTATTACACAGCAGAGGTCTACTACTTTGTCAGTTGTGTTAATAATCATAACAACATGAATGAGGGACAAATGGCATAAAACGTATAATTATATACTTAATGAAATTACAGTTTCTCATGTGAAGAGAAAATAGGATAGAGAGGGAGGAGAATGTTTAAAATGTTTTCAAGAGTGAAGGCAGGAGAGGCAGAAGATAGATCACAAACGTAGACTCTAAAGAAAGAGAAATAAAAAATTAACTGTAAGTTGTTTACAAATGAAAGAGGAAGAGGAACAGGAAAATTTGAGTGTTATTGGGAGAAGAGAGCGAAGAAGGGCCATCAAGAGGGCTAAAAACCAAGGTACAGCAAACAAGCAAATGTGAGAGCAAAACAATTCAAAACCATGGATGCATACATCCCTCCTGTGTGAAACCAGTGGTCAATAATAAACAGGAGCAGGTGAAAGCAAACTGATATGAATATATACAAATATTGAACCTATTCTTGCAGTGAGTACACACACATGCACACACAAACACACACAGAAATCTTGCACAATGGAAAGAAGTAAAAAATAATAAAATACAATAAAATGATTGTGGGCTCAGTTGGTCCAGCCGTAGCTCATCAAAGAGCTGAGGAAGGTGTGGCTGTGGAGTCAAGGAGAGACCTCTGGGGAACAGTTTCAGAGAACTTGATCCACTTTATTATTGCATAGGCAAGCTTTTGTGCATAGCCTGTTCCTGGGCGAATGAGGGTCATTGAGGGTCATAATGATCCAGTAAGCTAGCAGTGCTTACACGCGGTGACTAACGGACTAATAGGTCATTGGCAGAGAAGCAGAAGGAAAAGGACATGCTGTGCACCTGAGGGCACCTGAGGGAGGCCAGGTTTCCATGGTGATGGGGCTGAGTGTGGTTAGTGTGCTAATCACAACTTCCGGATTCAGTGTGCCGAACCCTGAGAGTCCCTCACATAGGCAACGTAGGCCGCTTTCCAACTCATGGGCCCAACAAATGATATTTGAAAAAAAAAATTAAAGTTTTTTATTTGTTATTTTAAATACACCTGAGAGTAGAGTGTATTTGGACTAGGATCCCATTCTTGAGGTTGTACTTTATGTAGAGCTACATGGGTAGTGTATTCGTTTATGAGCGAAGGAAAGTTATGTCTGGTTCATTCTACTCTCCTTTCTATTCCCATCCATCCTCCCTTCCCTTTGAGAGACCCCCAGATCCCCCAACCCGGAATGGACCACGCGAGACGCTGGATGCAAACAGCAGGAGGATTTATTTTCACACAGGCGCCCGTGGGTGCACAGCAAAACCTCAGCCGGAGCTTCGGTGACTGGCACACCCGGGCTCGGGGGTACAGAGTTTTTATAGGAAGCAGGGGGCAAGGTTTCAGCCTAGCACAGTAACAGTTATTCTATTGGTTTATCTAAGTTCCTCTAGGTCCAGCCCCTAGGGGGTTGGGGGGTAAACTTGTTTTTTCCACTTTATGTTCTGGGGGGTAAACTTGTTTTTTCCACTTTATGTTCTCAGAAAAGAAACCCATAAATTGCATCCTATTCTTTTAGTTCCTGTTTTTACTCTATTTGCTCAAGCTTGGCCTTCCCAGGATTATCTATATGGAACATCTGGTGGTGGCATTGTACAGAGCTTGGAGTGTTACGTGCAGCTGAGAAGTGCTACGTGCAGCTTGTGGGGTTTTAACATGGGGGTTGTACATGGGAACATCCTGTAGGGCCCAGGGGTTAGAATTCCTAACATTGGGTTTGGGGCCCTGTAGTCCTTCACCTTCATTCCCCTTTGTCCAATCCATCGAACTTCTATACTTCCCCTCTCTACCCTTCCTCGTTGTGGGTTAGCATCCACATATCAGAGAGAACATTCGGCCTTTGTGAAATATCACATAGCATGATATTTTTTAGTTCCATCCATTTACTGGCAAATGCCACAATGTCATTTTTCTTTATGACTGAGTAATATTTGAATCATTGTGTATATAAACCACAGTTTGTTTACTAGTGATCTGTCGAAGGACACCTAGGTTGGTTCCATAGGTTGACTATTGTGAGTTGAGTTGCTCTACATATTGATATGGCTGTGTCACTGTAGTATGTTGATTTTAAGTGCTTTGGGATAAACTGAGGAGTGTGATAACTGAGTTAAATGGTGGTTCCATTCCAGGTTTTCTAAAGAAAACTGCTTTCCAAAGTGGATGCACCAATTTGCAGTAACACCAGCAATGTAAGAGTGAACCTTTTCCTCCACATCCTCACCAACATTTATTGTTAGTTGCATTCTAATTATTTGCCATTCTGACTGGAGAGAAATGGAATATCAGTGTAGTTTTAATCTGCATTTCTCTAATTGCTGGAGCTGTTGTTGAACATTTTTTCATATATTTGTTGAGCATTCGTATTTCTTCTGTGAAGTAGCCAATCAGTTTTTTTGCTCATTTGCCGATTGGGTTATTAAGTTTTTTTGAGTTCTTGAATTTTAAAACATAAAACAAACAATATATTTTAAATGGGGTGAACATGGAGGGGAAAAAAAAGGAAAAATATTAATGAGAAGTAAAGGGCCTTTTTCCACTGAGGGTCTAAATTGTTGGTAGGGATGGATTTTTATTTTTTATATTTATTTTTTGCTTTGTAACCCAGGGGTCAAGTGTCAGGAGCTACTCTGGAAATACATGCCCTTAAGTCCTGAGTAAGAGATACCAAACAATTATTGCTTCCTGCAATAACTTGAGCTTTAGGTCCGTTCAGATAGTGAGGCCTGGCCCTAGGAGTAGGTATTACCCGGTGGGTGGGGTTGAGTTACACTTACCTATTCCTTTGTAATCCTACCCCTTACCCTTTTTTGGATAGAATGTTCTAAGAAACAGTGTCCCCCAAGAAAAGCCAGCTCCAGAATAGCGCTCTCTCTCTCTCTCTCTCTCTCTCTCTCTCTCTCTCTCTCTTCAACCTCTCGTGACTTTCTCTTGCCCCTCCATGGGACCCTGAGGCCAGGATCTGGGTAAGCCATCCTGAAGCTTATAAAAAGGTATTCCGTGTCTGCATGGTATTTTGTGTCACCCCAACTTCACATGAGTGACTTTGGTACAGTTGCTCTCACTGGACACTGGACAAGGGCATCAGAGTCAAGGTTTGGGCATTGTTAACCCAAACATCTTTGCATTCCTCGCTTATCCAACTGCCAGACAATGTGGCTAGGGGCTCATTTGTGGTAGTAGCTCTCAGCGTCTGTTCTTCCAGCGTAGGGTAGGTCCACTGAGGAGTGCTGACAAATTGTAAATTCCTGTAGCGGAAGTGGTGCTACTTACCCCAACATGGAATGAACCTGGAGAACTTTATGAGGAAGGAAGTAGCCACACAGAAAGACCTTCACAACATGATTTCACTTACATGTGGAGTCTTAGAAAACAAAGCATACACCTCAAACTCAGAGTAAGAGTAGAATGGTGGTTATTGGGGGCTGGGATGTGACAGAAAAGGTGAGATGTTTGTTCAAGGGTACAAATGATATACTGCCGGTGACCAGTTCTGCTCCCCCATATGTTGAAGTATAACATTAGAGGCAAGCACATAAAGCAGGGTTTATTTAAAAAGAAGTAACATAGACTTCTTCTGCGAGGGAGAAGGGGGCCATAGCTGGTATCCTGGTCTCCCAAGAAGTGAGGGGTGTTTTGCCTTTTTATATGTCCTGGGCTTCCTTTATTCTCCGGCTCTCTTCCCCTTATCTCTCCTTCTTGTGTATGTGACTAGGCTGGGGAGATGCTCAGTGAGATGGCCAAAAGGTGAGAAGTAGATGTACAGGGAAGGACTGGATAGAGCAGCCCAGGACACATTAATGAACAATTCTATGACTCCCAATAGGGAGTGGAAGTTCTTGGGAGAGGTTACCCTAGCAACAGATTGGAGCAGAGGCAGGTTATCTTTGACAGGGTGTTGGAAAGACTCTGACCTGTTTAAACTGACTGCCTGTCTAAATCTGGCTTCACAAACCTTCAGTTACTATGTGAATAAGCACTGGAGACCTAAGGCTTATTCACATAGTGGTGACTATAGTAAATAATAATGCATTTTACACCTGAAGTTTACTAAGGTATTTTCATCACACACATATGAAAATGTTAACACTTAGGTGATGCATATATTAATTAACTTGGCTGTGGTAACAATTTGCAAGGTCTATATAAATCAAAATACCACATTTTACACTCTAAATATACATACCTTTTATTTTTCAATGGTACCCCAATAAGGCCATTAATAAAAAGAAAACCATGGGTTGAGAAATAGCATAAGGGAAAGAAGGAATGAATTAAGCAATCTTGGTCCACTGGATGGCAACAGAATCCTTGTGCATTTTGCACAAAGCTGCAGTCTGTACTTTACGAATTGCTGCTGGGTGAGAGAAATTGCTATGCTGGATGGCCTGATGCTGCCTCCCTGGTACTCACACTCTTGCTGTGTTAGTGATACCTGTGGTCTCAACCTGTGAGTGTTAAGATCATTTGGGGGCACTTTTAAAAATATAGACTTCCAATACATAGTTATGATGGGCTTACTCAATCAAAATCTCTATAATACAAGCACTGCTAATGACCCAGAAGAAATCAGCTGCATTTTGGTGCCAAAGTGGATAAGCAATGGTGACTGACGAATTGTTCAAACTTCAGAAATTGAACAAGTAAAGATTCAAATTTGAGTCTTAAGTTTATTAGTTATGGTGCACTGCAAATGTCTGACTTCATTTCCTTTCATGTAAAATAGGACATACAATTTCCCTAAATGCGTTGATGTGAAGATTAATTATAGTGTAGATATCAATTGTCTGAGTCAGGCATGGCAGATCATAGACCATCCATAATGACAGCCATAGTTGACATCACATTTGTGAGCAAAAATATTTTTTTGTGAGCAAATATCAGAAATATTTGAAGATTCTTGTGGCGCAATAAAGTATAACAAATATGGCACAATAAAGTAAAACAAATATAAGAATAATCTGTAACAGTCTGAATCATTCCAAACATATAGTTCAAATGCTGATCTTCTTCAGCTAATGTTTGCATTTTCTTTCCTATTTCTAGTTGTCAAAAGTCTATGGCCCTGTGTTCACTGTGTATTTGGGTTTGAGACCCACTGTGGTGTTGCATGGCTATGAAGCTGTGAAGGAAGCCCTGATTGATCATGGGGAAGTATTTTCTGGAAGAGGCAGTTTCCCTGTGGGTGATAGAGTTACTAAAGGACTTGGTAAGTGGGCATGCATGTGAGGTGGCTGAGCAATGGTCATGGGGAGGAGAAGAATGAAAAAGAGAAAGTCAGATTGAGCTTAACCACCTCTGTGGCTCACTTATCAACTTTCTGTACGTTGGCTGGGATATCCTCCTAGATTCTGCTCTCCTTCGTTTAGGAATCATTTTCTCTACTGGAAGCAGATGGAAAGTGATGAGGCGCTTCTCAATCATGACTCTGCGGGATTTTGGGATGGGGAAGAGGAGCATTGAGGACCGAGTTCAAGAGGAAGCCCGCTGCCTTATGGAGGAGTTGAGGAAAACCGAGTGTGAGTGATTCATTATATCATCGTCCTTAATAGACTGCTCTTTTCTGTGTCTAGTGAATGCATTTCAGCAACAGCCAGATCTTCAGTTATGGGTCCTTTTAGTCCTTATATGGAGGAGGTATGATTCAAAGCAGAGAGCCAGAGTTTGTGTATCTGTGCTGCCCAATCACAGGCATGACTGGGTATGCATGGTAAAAGATAATATAAAAGATAATATAATCCTATGCTGACAAGTTTTATTTCTGTTTTCAAATCATTGCATCATGAAGACACAAGGTGTAGAGTTCCTTTTTCTTCAAGAGTTAAAGAGCAGGGTTTCCCCGTGGCACATTTGTGAGTTTCCCACTCCATGGCCTTCACCATTGTCTATTGGACACCATGGAAATATCCACCTTAGACTCTGTAGAGCTGAAGCAAGTGATGTGTACTTTCACTTAATTGGACTGTGGTTGTCCAGTCACTTTTGTTATCTGTCTTCTCTCAGGGTTTCTTCCCAGGACAGTACCTAGTAACTATACTAATCTGTGGTTTTTCATTGATTTGCATATCTCCTGGAAAGTGTCAAATATTCTTATGGGAATCACTTATCTCTACTGACCCAAGATGTTTTTTTCAGTGTCTTTGATTTTCATCTTGCGTCCAGATTGCTCTGTTTTTAAACTTGTCTTCCAAATTAACAAAAAAAAAAAAAAAAAAAAAAAAAAGGAAAGACTAAGAATCAGACATTACCAATGAATGACACACACCTAGAAACTCCCTGGCTTCCCTAATTACCCTCTAACTCCATAGATAATGTAAACGTTTTTTATGAAAGCTTAGAACCCTAGAATATTTACAGAGCCTGGTGGAGGAGAAGATAACTCGAAAGCTTTGCTTTTACCCAATGCTCTATGCTTTCTTTGCATCAGTTTTTCATTTGTTTATTTCTAAATTATCCTATTGTATTTTTTACTGACATTTAATCAGTCCATATTAATGAGGTACCTATGGTACTCATACACAAGCGTACAGCATGTACAGTTAAAAGCCATCCTCTCCATCTCTCTATCCTCCTCACTGCCAGCGCACACTGTTCCCCATTTGCAGTAATCGCAATTTTACCTTCAGGTTCACATTCATTTTAGCTTCCACACATGAGAGAGACCTTGCAATACTTTACTGTTTCTGACCTCTTCTGTCTCTCTTGCATTAAAATGACAAGATTTCATTCTTCTTTATGATCAATATTACATTGTGTATGTAACAGAGCATCTTTATCCACTATTCTGTGGATAAGCACATAATTTAATATGATATCTTAATTATTATGAATAGTGTCATAGTTATCCTCCTGAACATTGCAGGAATCTATGTTGTATATTGATTTCATTTCTTTCATCTGGGTATCAGAAGCAGGACACCTGAATCATATGGAAGATGTCTTTATGTTTTGAGAAAATTGCATCCCGTCTTCCTTAGCATGAGTGTCTTAATGTACATCCCCACCAAGAGGCATAGGGTGTCCTTCTTCTGCATACCTCTCCAAAATTTGTTATTTGTTGTTGTTGGTGGTGGTAATTTGGGTTTCCTATTTTTGTTTCTGTGTTTTGACAACAGCCATTCTAATTGTGACAAAATAATTCCTTATGGTAGTTTTGATTTACATTTGCCTAATGGTTCATTAAAATGGCATTTAAAAATATATTTATTGCTCAGTTTTATTTCTTCTTTTGAGAAGTGCCTATTAAGATCATTTGCCCATTTTTAACTGTATTACTTAGGATTTGTTGTTTTTTGTTCCTTAGGTATTGTAGATTTTAATCCTTTTTGACACAAATAAGTGGCAAATATTATCTCTCATTCTGTAGACTATCTCTTCACTCTATTGACTGTTGTGTATGAGCTTTTCATTTTGAAGTAATCTACTTGCCTGTTTTTGCTTTTAGGGCCATATAGAAAAAAATCATAACTTGTATCCATCTTGAGGTGTTTCCCCTATGTTTCTTCTAGTTCATTTAGAGTTTCAGTTCTTACAGGAAGGTCTCTGAGCCATTTTGAGTTGAATTTTGTACAGGTTAGAAATAAGGGTCAAGTTGGAATCTTCTTCATGCTCCATTTATTGAAGAGGCTCTTTTTTCTCTGCCATAAGTTTTGGAATTTTGTTGAGAATCAGTGGACTGTGGATGCTTGGTTCCCTGCTACTACATCCCCCATCGCCCCAAGATCTCCATTCTCTCCCATTGTTCTTTTTGCCTGTTTCTGTGCCAGTACCATGCTCTTTTGCTTACTGTGGCTCTGTAGTTTGGCTTGAAATCAGGAATCCTCCTGCCTCCAGCTTTTCCCCTTTGCTCAACATTGTCTTGACTATTTAGATTTTTCTTTTTGTACTTCTGCATGGATTTTAGATATTTTTTTTCTAGTTCTGTGAAGACTATCTTTGGTATTATCTCATGAGAATTGAATTAAGCCTGCAAATTGATTTGGATAGCATGATCCTTTTAACAATGTTAATCTTCCAGTTTCTGAGCATGGGAGGTGTCTTCATTTTTTGGTATCATCTTCAATTACTTTCAATAGTGTTTTGTAATTATCATTATAGATGTCTTTTGCTTCCTTGGTTAATTTTTTTTATCAAGTAAATTAATTAAATCTAAAATTTACCTTTTTTTTGGATATTTTTAGTTGTAGATGCACACAATAACTTTATTTAATTTACTTCTATGTATTGCTGAGGATCGAATGCAGTGCCTCACATGTGCTAGGCAAGTGCTCTTACTCAGTCCAACCCCATCCCTAAAACTTACCTGTTTTATCAAGTAAACTGTAACTAAAAATATAGTTGTGAGTTTGGATACTTTTTTCCTTAACAAATGATATGTACTGATCACCTAATTGTCCTTTCATTTTTATAGATTCCCCCCAAAATGAAAATCTTGTCGTATGTTAATTTCTTTACCTATAAAATTGCAGCATTGACTAAAGTGATGTCCAGTATTCAAATTTACTAAAATATATTATGCTGGTGGCTATATGATTCAGAGAAATGTTCCAGAAGTTCACAGGGGGGCAGTATTGCCAAATAGATTAAATTTTGAGGCATTTAAAGATGATGGGCTATATTTCCTAAAGTGGCAAATTTTCTTTTAGTGTTTCTCTCTTACGCTCTCTCTAATGAAGAAATAAACAGATTACATTTATAAATTTAACCTTTGTGTCACCTTGAATTTACTTTAAAATAAAAATTTCTTACCTTTATTGAGAAATTGTTTATGTATGTTTGCCTTTCTTCTTCTTAAAATATGAAGGTTTTCTGCTTATATCCATTTTTTTCCCACAAATATACAAATTTATACAGTTACTATCTATTAGTCTTTAACTCTGCAGTTTTTACACATGAATCTTTCAGTGATATAAAATCAGTATCCCTAACTTCTTTTCCTTTTTATATAATTCCTAATTATCTACAGGTTTGATAATTACTCAGCCCAACCCCATCCCTAAAACTTACCTGTTTTATCAAGTAAACTGTAATCAGGTTTGATGACAAATATGATTCTGCACTGAAATTGAATAAACAAGTGTTTTTAAGTGATTTTTTAAAATGTTTTCCAAAATAAGTGTCACTTTGTGTTAGGATGGCTTAAAAAGGCAGTGGAATTGATTGGAGCATTAGGAAAACCATTATTAAACTGGCTACCAGGTAAAAGTCAATTTGAGTTTAAGGTAAAAGTGAATGATTTTTAGCATGGTGAATATTTTTCATATCAAAGGAATTCATAGACAGATATTGCTTAGCTTTTCTACATTTAACTTTCCCTGTTATTTCAAAGAGAAATACATTTGTATGTATACTTTAATATTAATTTTTAATGTTTCCACTTCTTTAGCCTCACCCTGTGATCCTACTTTTCTCCTGGGCTGTGCTCCCTGCAATGTGATCTGCTCCATTATTTTCAATAATCGCTTTAATTATAAAGATCAGCATTTTCTAAAGTTTATGAGGAAATTAGATGAAAATGTGCAGATTCTGAGTTCCCCATGGATCCAGGTAAGACAAAATCCCACCTCCTTTTCTTGAGAAATTATATGATCTTTATTCTGACAAGTCAAAATTTCTAGTGCTCCAAGCGGTAAAGTGAGCCTAGATACAACAGTCTGACCAGAGTATCAGGAAAATACGTCTGAGTCTTTTACTTTATACACAGGAAAATAAATGCCCACATGTAGAGATGGCAGGCAAGCCCACTGGCTCTCTGGCCAGTTTGTTTCCCAGTATCCCCCAAAGCCTAATCTTTATAAAGGACTTTGGTAACTGCATTTGAGCAAGATTAAGGTTATCAGGCCCCAGTGGAGGACTCATCAGTCACAAGGGCTGCACTCCAATCACCACTTAGAAATTTCATCACTTTAATTGGCAGAAATATAGTTATCTGATATTTGACAAAGTTTTCAAAAAACATATATTGGAGAAAAAAAATTGCCTTTTTAACAAATGGTGTCAGGGAAACTAGAAATCTATATGTGGTGGAATGAAATTGAATCCCTATCGCTTACCTTGCACAAAACTCAACTCAAAGTGGATCAAAGACCTAGGAATTAGACCAGAAAATGCACCTGCTAGAAGAAAATGTTGGCTCACACTTCAACATGTTAGTTCAGGAACTGACTTCATTAACAAGACTCCTAAAGTGCAAATAAGAAAATAAAAATCTTTGCCATCTGCTCTTTAGATAGGGCATTGATATCCAGGATATACAAAGAACTTATAAAAATTAACACCAAAATACCAAATAACCCAATCAACAAATGGGCAAAGGAACTAAACAGACACTTCTGAAAGAAAGAAATATGAATGGTCAACAAATATATGGAAAAATGTTTAACATCCCTAGCATTTAGAGAAAGGCAAATTTAAACTACACTGAGATTTCATCTCATTGCGGGCAGAATGGCAATGATCAAGAATACAAATAACAATAAATGTTGGTGAGGATGTGGGGGAAATGTATATTCACACATCATTGATGGGACTGGAAATTGGTGCAATTACTCTGGAAAGCAGTATAGAGATTACTCAGAAAACTATGAATGGAACAACCATTTGACCCAATTATCTCACTCCTCAATATATACGTCCAAAGGATTTTAAATCAGCATATTACAGTGATGCAGCCACTTCAATGTTTATTACAGCACAATTCACAATAGCTAATCTGTGGAGACAACCCAGGTGCCCTTCAACAGATACATGATTAAAGAAAATGTGGTGTATGTACACAGTGGAACATTACTCAGCATAAACAAGAATGTCATTATGGCACTTTCTGGTAAATGAATGGATCTGGAGAATATCAAACTAAGTGAAATAAGCCAGTCCCACAGAACCAAAGGATAAATGTTTTCTCTGATATACAGAGGCTAATCCAAAATAAGGAGAGGAAGATAAAAAAGAGAATAGAAGAAAGATCAGTGGAGTAGACAAAAGAGAATGAAAGGAAGGGAGAGTGAAAGATGATGAGATGAATCTTCCTAACATTCCTACAAATGCAATATAAATATACCACAGTGAATCTCACCGTCATGTACACATACAAGACACTAATCGAAAAGAAAGTATACGTAAACAGTAGAAAGATCAGAATAGTGAGGAAAGGGAACAGTGGGGGAGGAAGTGAGGAGTAGAAGTGCTGGGGATGGAATAGAATAAATTTTATTCCACTCTTTTATAAGTATGTCAAAATGAATACTAATGTCATGTTTAACTAAAAAGAACTGATAAAAAATCAATCCCAGACACACACACACACACACACACACACACACACACACACACTACCTTCATCCTGAATTTGTTCTCTTATCTCTTTATTGGAGGGATTGATTCTTGCCTGTATCTGCTAACTTAGGTTGTTTTTAAATTCCCAAATCATTTTAATTATGTATATTCTGAACTCCTTTTCTGACATTTCACTTACTTGACTATATATGGATTCTGTTGTTGTCGTTTCTTGGTTTGTTTGGGGCACTTTTCTCCCTTGTTTTTTCATGATGTCTATGTGTCCTTCTCTCTTGCAGTGTAGATCTGAGGTATTACAACTTCTGCCTTACTGTGTTATAGTGTGCCTACAGATTACTAGTACTTCACTTTTAAGGGAGAGATCAATATTATAGCACTCAATGTACCCAACGTGCAGCCATATATCAGTTAGCTCCTATTTTCACATTTACAGTTTTGTCACTATAAACAGAAATGATGAGTTTGGTTATCTTCAACCATATAGTCAATGGGTTTGCATAATGGTTTACTGTTTCTGATGGTGGAAGGGGTACTGGGGGATTGGCTGAGATGTTTATGAAGTAGGATGTGAGAATATGAGTGTATTAGATTATATGACTAGTGAGAGGATAAATAGGAAGTTGGCTGTTAGTAGGAGAAACAAGAGATAGGCAACCCTATGCAAGTCTCCCCGTTACCTCAGCAAAAGAATAACTGCTAGCACCCCTAGTAGAGAAACCTCTGGTGCAGCCAGGCCACAGGGATGTCTTACCAGGTCCTTATTGTTGTCTCTTGATAGAAGTGGCAATATCCCAGCTTTGGGGTGGTGGCAGCCTCAAGCCTGTATGTTTCCTGATGTTGGGCTGTGGGGCCACACTTTGGTGAATAAGGAACTCCAGTACGGGGTGGCTCTGTGTATGTGTGTGTTGGGGGGGGGGTGGCTCTGCCCCTGAACTCCATGCTGCAGGTGTGGGATGAGTGGGTGGGCTCTGCCCGGAATTCCAGGCTGCAGTGGAACCCTTATCTCATCTCTAAAGATGATGTTTGAGTATAGAAAAGGGTTATTATTTCTAATCCTCTGGTCATCGTTCTCTCCATCAAATTTTTCTATAAGCTTGGGAATTATTATATATGTACAGTAAAACCTTCTCTTTTAAGGTGGACATCATTTGTTTTTAAAGCTATAGTTTCAATGATGGACTAGGCATGATATTTATGTGTCTTTATTACTGGCTTCTAGTTAATACCTATTTTTATTTTGTAGGTCTGCAACAATTTTCCTGTTCTCTTTAATATTTTCTCAGGAAGTCATAAAAAACTTTTTAAGAATATTACTGACTTGAAACAGTATTTTATGGAGAAAATAAAAGAACATCAAGAATCCCTGGATATGAACAATCCTCGGGACTTCATCGACTGCTTCCTGATTAAAATGGAAGAGGTAGCACATGAATGACAACTCACTTATCTAATTGCATCAGCATTTTGCAATTCACTGATTAATTCTGTAATTACTAGTGATAGATAAGTGGTCAGGCAAGACATTTTTTACAGGCTTTTGAAGCACATATTGCCTTTATGGTTTTGCATGAATTATCATAGAAGAATTAAAATTGAATTGTTAAACAGCTGGAATACATGGATCCTGTTCTATAGATACTCATAATCTACCCGAGGAAAGACAAAATTCACATCTCAGATGAAAAGGGAATGATTATAAACAAGCTGCAAAATATAAAATTGGAGCCACACAATGCAAATTGAAATCATTGTTTGTACTCAGTGTTCAGGAGAATGGGCAACTATCCAGTGGTCTGCATGTGTAATGGTTCTTCAGTGATCAAGACCAAGTAACCAAAACATCAAACACTGATTTTATAGGACAGGATTCCTGTTGCCCATTCTAAGACCAAGGAAGTGCAACAGGAATGTAGATCACTGTCCTCACAACTGCCTGCAGTAGGTTCTGCTTTATGGGGAATAGTAGCTGGTACATAAAACACTGAGATTTATGAAAACTTTTCTTTATCAATTATTTTCCTGGGTACTATTTTTTCAACTAGATTCCAGAGTTCCCAAACAGTTGCTTCAGAGAGTTTATATTAGGTCAATAGGGTTTTCTCTGAAAGAACTTATACCTGGAACTTCCTACTCCACTATCTTTTTGAGTCATTACTCCTGTATGGTCATCTTTTTTTTAAAGGTTTTTATTAATATGTTAAAATTATTCATAATAGTGGAATAATTGTGATATAGTTCTATATGCACACAGAACAAATTTGCCAGTTCTTTTCCCCAAAATTCCCATTTCCTTCCTTTTCTCCCTTCCCTATTCCCCTTCTCTATTGTTCTTGTTGTTTTTCCATTTTGATGTGGTCCCTTTACGTTATTTTTTCTTTAGATGCCACATATGAGAGAAAACATGTGACCCTTGACTTTCTTTTTCTTTTTTTTTTTGTGGCACTGGGGATTGAACCTAGGATATTGTGCATGTGAGACAAGCACTTTACCAACTGAGGCATATCCCCAAACCATGACCGTTGTTTCTGAGTCTGGTTTATCACACTTAGAATTATCTCCTCCAGTTCCATCAGTTTCCTTAGAAATGACATTTTATTTTGAAGATTAAGTAAAACTTCACTGTATGTCACATGCCATGTTGTTGTAATCTCTCTATCTGTTGAAGGATTCCTACGTGGGTTTCATAATTTGGCTATTGTGAACTGTTCTGCATATGTTACTAGATTATGTGACTTTAATTCTTTTGGATAAATAACCAGGAGTGGTATAACTTGGTCATTTTGTGGTTCCATTTTTACTTTTTTAAGGAATCTTCAGACTAATTTTTATAGTGATTGTACTGATTTAGAATCATACCAACAGTATAAAGTGTTTTTCCTTCTAATTATTGTTTTTTCCATATATTTTTAATTGCTGCATTGTAGTAGTACACAATTTCAGGATTTGTTGTTACATAATTCATGCATGCACACAATATAACAATGTGATTTAGCCAATATTATTTTCCAGTATTTCTCCTTTCCTCTCATCTCCTCATTTTTCCTGTTCCCTTTCTTCTACTCTACTGATTTACCATTGATCTTTTGTGATTTCCCCAACTTTCTTTTCCTTACTTAATACTTCAGGATAATTACTGAGGGTTGGTATAGCTGGGTCATACAATGGTCCCGGTATTACTATTTGAGGAACCTTCATAATTATTTACATAGTGCTTGTACTAATTTTCAACTCCACCAACAGTGTAAAAGTGTTTTTTTTTTCCTCCACATCATTTCAGGCATGAATTATAATTTGTGTTCTTGATGACCGCCATGCTAATTGGAATAAGATGAAATCTCATTGTTTTGAATTTCCCTAATTGCTAACACTGCTGACTATTTTTTCATATACTTGTTGACTGTTCATATTTCTTCTTTTGAGAAGTGTGTGTTTATAGTTCATTTGTGCACTTATTATTTAAGTTATTTTTGGTTTTTTTTGGTGTTGTTTTTTGAGGTCTTTGTGTATTCTGCTTATTAATCCTCTACCAGAAGAATAGCTAGCAAAGTTTTCTCTCCCATTTTGTTGGTTGTCTCTTCCTACTCTTACTTATTTCCTTTGATGCCCTTCCATTTATTTATTTTTGATTTTATTTCTTGATTTTTAGGAGTCTTATTGTAGAAGCCAATGCTTATATCTATCAGTTGGAGTGTTGCCCTTCTGTTTTTTCCCCCCCAGAAATTGCTGTGTTTCTTATCTAATTCCTAGGTCTTTGATCTACTTTGAGTTGATTTTGAGAAGGATGAGAGAGAGGAATGTAGTTTTCTTCATTTACATATGGACATCCAGTTTTAAACAAAACAAAACAGAACAAATATGACTTTTCTCCAATGTATATGTTTGGCGCCCTTGTCAAGGATTAGATCACTGTATCCATGTGGGTTTATCTTTATGATTTCGTTCCCATTAGTCTACATGAAAGCATCAGGTAGTCTTTGTTGCCAGAGCACTATAATATAATTTGAGATGATGTATTGTGATGCCTCTGGCATTGCTCTTATTGTTCCATATTGCTTAAGCTATTCTGGGTCTTTTATTTTTCCAAATGAATTTTAGGACCTTTTCTTCCAGTTCTGTGAAGAATGGCATTGTTATCTTGATCGGGATTTCATTGAATCTATAGATTGCTGTGATAATAAGGTCATTTTGATAACCATATAGATGGTTATCTAACTCAGTAGATAACTCTGTCTATTCAAGAACATGGGAAGTCTTCTTCCCTCCCTCCTAGGTCGTCTTCAGTTTCTTTCTTCATTGTTCTGTAATTTTAATCATAGATTTTTCATCTCCTCGGTTAGATTTTAGGATTTGAGTTTTTTTTTTTGGCTATTATGAATGAAACTGTGGTCCTGATTTGTTTTTTTAGTGGATTCATTATTGCTCTATGTAACAGTTATGGATTATTTTTAATGTTTTGATCTTATAGCCCGCCACTCTTCTTAACTGGTTTTCTGAAACAACCCTGGAAATCTTCTGGTGAAGTTATTTTGGGTTTTCCAAATACAGACTCATATCATTTGCAAACAGTGATATTTGACTTCTTTCTTTCCTATTTGTATCATGTTTATTTTTTTTTCACCTGCCTAATTGCTCTGACTAAAATATCAAGTACTTTTTTAAGTAGAAGAAGTGACAGTGGACATCTTTGTCTTTTTCCTGAGTGTGGAGAAAAATGTTTTCAGTTTTTTTTTTCCCATTCACTATATGATGGCTTGAGTTTCAACTTCCCTTATGATATTCAGGGAAGTTCTTACTATTCTTACTTTCTTCATCATTTTTTAACATGAATAGGTGCTAGATTTTGCCCCTGGCTTTTCCTGGATTTATTGAGAATGCCATGTGATTATGATTCCTTGATTCTACTTATGTAATGGATTATGTTTACTGATTTGTAGATATTGATCCACCCATTCTTGAATCCCTGGAATGAAACAAATTTGATCATCATGTACGATTTTTAGAATTTGTTCTTTTTTAGATGTATAATCTTATTGTGCTTTCAAACATGATTTGCCAATATTTTACTATTCATTTGTGTTTATTTATTAGTTTCTAGTTTTCTTTCCATGATGTGTTTTTACCTGTTTGGGGTGGGGGGTCACAGTGATATAGATTTCATAAAATTAAGTGGGACTTACCCCCTGCCCTCACACTTTCTATTTCATGGAATCATGAGGAAGAGCTGCACTAGTTCTTCTTTAAAGGCCCAATGGAATTGAGATGAGAACCTATCTGTTCTGTTTTTTTTTTCTGGAAAATTTTTTAGTACTGCTTCAGTCTTGTTGTTTGTAATTGGTATGATTAAGTTTTCTATGTCTTGGTTCAATTATTGCAGGTAGCATCTGGATATAAATTTGTCCATTTCATCTAGATTTTCCAATTTATTGGAATAGAAGTTTTAAAGGCAGTCCAAAATAATCCTCTGGATTTCAGAGATTCTCTGGAACTAGCTCCTTTTTCATGTCTAATTTTGTTAATTTATATCTTCTCTCTTTTGTTTAGTTTGGCTGTTTTATCAGTCTTGTTTGATCCTTTCAAAGAACCAAGTCTTTTGTTTCATTGATCCTTTGTACTTTTTTGTTCTCTTATTAATTTTAGCTTGCATCTTAATTATTTCATTCTTTCTATAATATTTGAGATTATGTTGTTCTAAATTTTCTAAATCTTGGAGATGCATTATTAGGTATTTGGGCTATTTCAGATTTTTTAATGTATTCATTCATGGTTTATAAACTCTTGTCTAAGAACTGCCTTCCTAGGGTTCCAGAGATTCTGGCATGTTGCATCTCTACTGGTTGACACCAGGATATGCCAACATCTGGAGCAGCAGCCAAGCTTCCAGTGACCATGGATACAGCAGTCTCTCTATCTGCATCATTCTGCACATTGAAACATCTTTCTAGATATTCCATAAAATATCTTTATGCAAGCATGGTGCTGCCATGGTCTCCTCTCAAATGGATGTGGTCTTGCCAATTCCTGAGGGGCCCTCAAACCATCTTTCCTATTGTCTCTTTTTAAAATAATAACATCATTTAGTAGCTGTAATGTTTTTAACAACCACAAATTCTGTATCCCAGTTTTACTTGGATTTTTATGGCCAAACATCAATTTTTCAAATCTTTCTGCTTTTATTTCTGCCTCTGGTTATCACAGTACAGTTGGCTAAAAGTCACTAGAAAGATCTATGACACAGGCTGAATGCTGTATTGCCTTGAAATTTCTTCTGCCAGGTTAATTAGTTTAGGACTATTAAATTCAGCCTCACAGATAGCCTCAGGGTACTGGAAAAATGTAGAACATACTGGAACATAACATGAATGCCCTCCAGTTCAATTTCCAAGAGTCCCCTTGTTTGAAACCAAGTGAGCCCAGTCTTAACTGTCCACAGTTATGTCAGCCTTCTGGTTTTCTGAGTGCCCACCAGAATCACTCTTTAAGCTCCACTTACAACATTCTAACGCTTTTGCAGCTTGCATCTCTAAACTTCAAAATTCCTCCTCCATCAAATGAATCCCAAAGATTTATTAACCACATGGAAAGGTTAGACACAGCAGTGGCCCCAATTCCAATACCATTTTTTTTCTTTTAGTCAACTTTTTCTTTGTTGTGACCCCAGATCTGACAAGAACAACACAGAAGAGGAAACATTTATTTTGGCTCATTGTTACAGAGGTTCAATCTGTGTTTCCTGATTCCACATCCCTGGACACAAAGTGAGGCAAAACATCTTGTTTATTCTGTTATTTTTTTTGCCAACACTATGCTATTTCATTACTAAAACTCTGTAGTATAATTTGAGATCAGGTATTGAGATGCTTCCAGAATTGTTCTTATTCCTCAGTTTTGCTTTAGATATTCTGGGTCTTTGGTTTCTCTGTATAAATTTTTAGGGCTGATTTTCCTATTTCTGCGAAGAGTATCATTTGTATTTTGATCAGGATTGCATTAAATCTATAGGTGATTTTGGTATTATCGCCATTATAATATTATTAATTGTGCCTAATCAGACACATGGGTTTTGATTTTCCCATCTTCTTTGATTCTCTTCTATTTCTTTCTTTGGTATTCTATGATTTTCAGTGTAGATATCTGCACTTTCTTGGTTAGATTCATTCCTTGTAATGTTGCCATTTTGAGGCTATTTTGAATGGAATTGTTTTCCTGAATGCTTTCTCAGAAGATTCATTATTGGAATACAGGAAAGCAATTGATTTTTGTATGTTGATCTTGTATCTTGCTATATTCATGATTTTTTAAAAAAATTAGTTCTATATATCTGGGATTGAATTTAGCGGAAGTTGACCACTAAGCCACATTTTGTATTTCAGATAGAGATAAGGTCTCACTGAGTTGCTTAGTGCCTTGCTTTTGCTGAGGCTGGCTTTGAACTGGTGACCCTCCTGCCTCAGCCTGCAGAGCTGCTGGGATTACAGGTGTTCAGCAGCACCATGCCTGGCCTTGGGGAGGGGTACTTCTAAGTATAGGATCATGTCATCTGAGTTTATTTTCTGTTCAAATGTGACTTTGTTGGACAATTATGTCTGCTTTTCTTAAACTTAGTAGCAGATATTCATGTATCTATGGGAAAGGAGCTTCATCTTCCCTACTGAGCCACCACTCACTGAATGGTATGGCTGTCTGTTGTTTTATTAATTCTCTTTCTACTGTAGCACCTGATATTTTTGGGATTCATCTGTCTGCTGCCTTAATGAAAATTTCCCACAGTCTTCTGACCTCAGTTTTTCTCTGTAGAACTGATGTTTTAATTCATACTTGGGGAGCTGCTACTCTATTGTGGGTTCCTTTGGTCTTCCATTTTCCTTAATTGCAGTACTTCTATTTTAATGACATCAAATGTTTCACTGCCTATTGCACAATATATTCCTATTTGAGTCTTCTTTGAAATTTTGATTGGACAATCTTAGAAAACTAGGTAAAGTCAATATTACCTTATCCAGGAAATATGCCTGTTGAGATAGCTGTCTCTCTAAATGTTGCTTACATATTAGTGAACATCCTATAGTCCATCTGGAGCTTATATAAGCCCCATTAAATAAATTCTCACCTATGAACTTGTTATAAAAATACATATTTTATATATATAATTCATGTGTTAGAGTTACTTTATATTTTCAAATCTTTAGTCAATATTTAAAGTTAACCTTTGTTGATGTCAACTCTGTGGCAAGTAATACCCTCAGTCCAAAATCAAAATTAGTTGTTCTTATCGAGTACTTTCTATTTCTCAATTTCCAATGTATGAGAGCTCTATGGAGTCAGCCTCTTATCCTCAGAATCTGCATTATCTCTACTCTTTCCCTTAATTCTCAATGAACAGTTAATACCTAAACTCTCTGTCTTTGTGTTTGTGGTGTATTTTTCAATTTGTATCTTAAGAACAGGGTGAATTTCCTGGTGAGCTTATTCTTATAATTTTTTCCTAAGTTATCTGTTGCCTCACATATGAAATATATTCTCTTTCCAATTCATTCTCTTTTGTTTATTTTAGACTGTGCTGCCATATTATCTTTTGGATATTTTCCAGTTCCTAATGAGTGTGTGGGAAAACCTAATTCCAAGTAAATTCTTTATCAGAAGAAGAAAATTGCATGTTTTTGATTTATATAATTTTATCTACCATGATGTGGCCGTAATTTACCTACTTGTATCAATTGTTATCATCTTTATGTACAAATAAAGGAAAACCAATTACCAGAAATTTAAAAATTGTATTTAGTCATCTAACATATAAGGAAGACTTGTGGTGGGCTAGACTAGGTTTAGTACCATAGCCAAGAAACATCAGAGACTCAGGTGCCTTCCATTTTCCTGCATCATATGTTATGTGTTGCATGTGGTTTGTCCCCTCCAAAACTTATGTTGAAAGTTGTTTCCCAATGAAACAGTGTTGAGAGGTGCCAGGACAGAATAAATCTCTTTTCTTTGTAAATCACACAGTTTCTGGCAATCTGTTATAGCAATAGAAAATGAAATCACACATTGTACTTAATATACTAGCTTTTATCTTCATGATTAAATCTTGCAATCTCAAAATGATTTCTGTCTGGCCTACACTATGGGTCTATCATTTTATGTATATATATATATATATATTATGTAGGAAGAAGGAAAGAGAAATGGCATCAACAGACTTTCCCTTGTATTTTATTGATAAGAAATATGATGCATGTCCTTCCTAGTTGCAAAAAGGATGGTGAATAGAATCTTTAGGCAACAAGGTGCAAACAGACATTTAGTCAATTTATCTGTAGTTTACCATATCACACAGTAGCTTTTAATAATATTATAGTCTTTTGATTCTCTGTTGGCCTAATTTTATGACCGTATGATTGTAAATTATTATAAATAAATTAATTGTGAAATAAATGCATTGAATTATTTATAGGAAAAGGGCAATCCACAGACTGAATTTACCACTGAAGCCTTAATAAACACTGTTAATGATCTGTTTGGAGCTGGAACAGAGACAACAAGCACTACTCTGAGATATGGACTCATGCTCCTTCTGAAGCACCCAGAGGTCACAGGTATGACTGCAGATGGTGAGCAGGGTGAATTTTACAATAGAAACTTGGCAAGACACTGCTAGTGTCCTCCACCTTATTTCTCTTAAAGAAGTTTCCTTATTGAATGTGCTGTGTCACCAGAGTACAAATGCAAATTACTTCTTCTAAAGTGTGAGAAGAGGAATAGAGGAAACAGGCAACAAACCTTCAACAATTTTCTGAAGCATAGAGGGCAGAAGAAAGGAATACAACTTGGCAGAGAGTTTCAAACTGTAGCCTGTATGTCAGAAGAAGAAGTTGTAATACTGTGGAAAAGCCAATCTGTGTACCTAAAAATATCCATAAGGTTCAGGATTTAGAAGCACCATATATCAAACAAATTAGAGAAAACTGAGGCAGAAAATAGGAGTCCCTCTATGTGCAGGTACCCTGTGCATCCCCTTTGAGCAGTTAACTGTTTTCCTCTTATAGGAACAGAGGTTTACTCTTAAGAAAAACTGAAACTAAGGGGTCCTGTAATCAATTTTAGAACATCAAAATAAAGTTTAAAAAAAAATCACATAAACTTTTTGAAATATACCAGGTCTTATGTTAAGAAGAATGAATCAGAAGGGCATCGGAGTTCCAAAGAACATCGATTATTTTGCGTGTTAATAGAAAATGTAAGAGCCGGGTGTGGTGGCACAAGACTATATTCCAACTATTGGGAAGTTGAAGCAGGAAGCTGAATGGAAGTCAAGACTAGCCTGAGCCAGTCTGTCTCAAAATAAAACCAAAAGGCGTTAGGTATGGCTCAGATGTAGAGGGCCTCTAGATCAATCCCCAGGACAAACCAAACCAAACCAAACCAAAAAACACCACCCAAAAGAAAAATCCATACTAACACAAAAGAACAACAACAACAACAAAAACCCATGTTTTTAAATCCATCTTTGGTACAAATTTATTCCCCTTTTTCATTTTCACAGGAAGATACTGAGCATATGCTCCATCCAAATATTCGCAATCAAGGCAGAGCCAGTCAGGGGCTTCAGGAATCAAGAGAATTTATGTATAAAGATGGGAGTGTCCTGAACACTAGGCCTAGGAAAAAACCAATTGTCCACATTAAGTATAAAGCAGGTGTAATCAAAGATAAAGAAAATAAAAGAAAGAATCTAAAGTTTAAACGTTTAGAAAATTATTTCTAGAAGTTTGAAACATCAATGTAAGCATTTATATATAAGATAATAACCAGAAAATTAGGAATTGGCATAAGTTGTTCAAATATAAGTTAAACATATGCAATGAATGAAACATTAAACATTATTTATGTGGTCATAATGGTGTAAACACAGTATATTGATAAGATCAAAAATTGTGATTAAGATATATAGCAGTGGAGAGGGTAAGAATTTCAGGCATGTGGGTGTGCACATTTATTTGTGGTGTGTATTTTACAGGGAGTAGGAATGGATCCTAATCTTCCTTACCAGGAAATCATTAGAAATTTTCTAAAATTGGATAAATTAAGAAATGAAAATAGATAATTATTTAGGAATAGGAATACTCAGAAGATTTCTAGAATGATTCAAAATGGCTATCTTTAAGAAATGAGACATTGGAAAGGGTTTCACTGGAAACCACACATGCACTCATACACAAAAAAACACACATGTTCACGCATAGACATGTAATCATATAAATCCATTAGTAGAATTTAATTTTATAATGTCATGTTATTTTGGTATAAAATTAATATTTTTTCTGTTTTTCTTTCTGAAGTGATAATTCTTTAATTAGTTATGTGATGACTTGATATTTTGAAACATTTATCATTTATAATTATATTTGATATGTATGCTAATATATGAGGCTTATATAAGTTTGTAGATATATTTTAATACCTAGCTTATAGGAGAGTCTTAAATGCATATGACTAATAGTATATGTATGTATATTTATCTATGTTTAACAGTATTTCTTGATAGATATTGATAAGTAGATATAGATAGTATCATGGTGATCATTTCTTACGTACAGAAGTATTTATTGCATATAAGTCATGTTTCTAGTACCTCCTGGATACTCATTAATGCTTCATATAATCCTAAAATATTTAAGAATTATACTATTTTTCTCTTTTTCATTATTTCTCATTTGTATCTTATCAGCTAAAATCCAGGAAGAGATTGACCGTGTGATTGGCAGACACCGCAGCCCCTGCATGCAGGACAAGAGCAGTATGCCTTATACAGAGGCTGTCCTGCATGAGATCCAGAGATACATTGACCTCCTGCCAACCAATCTTCCCCATGCAGTGACCTGTGACATTAAATTCAGAAACTATTTAATTCCCAAGGTATTATTTCTCCCATATTGCACTTCAGTGCTCTTGAAGTTCCCAACTTAGCAGAATGGTCCCAATCCTCTGCCAGAACAAGATGAGAGAAGTACAAAACTCACCCATGTAGCACCTAGACTCACTGCTGGGCCAAGACTAGGTTATGAAGCTCCCTAACTGTTCCTGACATCCAGCAGGGTGAACTCTCCCAATTTCTTCTGCTCCTTCCAGTTTGTTTTGTCTACTCTCAGCTGTTTACATTTCCAAACAAATTTCAGAATCAGTCTGTTAATTTTCCAAAAAACTCTCCTGGGATATTTTTCGGCATAATATGAAATCGATAGATCAGCTTGGAAAGAATTGACATCTTGATATGTAGAATATTTCAGTTATTGCACATTGTGTATGTTCTCATTTGGATTTTGTTTATTTTTTTTCAATAATGTTTTATTTTCAATGGAGTGGTTTCCACACTTTTTGAAAAAATTTTTAATTAAGTAATTAACATTTTGAAAGCTAATATGAATTGTACAATTTAATGCCTTTTCCATTTTGCTGTTCTTGGCATAAGAACATATTGTTATAGTTTTATTTTGATGACTTTATATCTAGAATCCTTATTAACTTTGTTAATCATTGATAATAATTTGTGTTTAAATTCATTTTCAATGTCTTATGTACATTTCCTTGCTATCTGGTTAGTATTAGTTTTATTACTATTTCCAATTCTAGTGAGCTTAATTTTTCTTCTTACGTAATTATACTGGCTGAAATTTCTAGCACAGGGTTGAATAGAAGTGGTGTGTTGAACAAGCTTTTAATTATTCTGGACTCTAGCAGGAGGTGAAGATTTAACATCATATTACTGAGTGTAATGTTTTATGCACATTTTGGCAGAAGTTTCCCATTTTTTATTTGTGTTTGGTGTTTTCTTATATCATTTATGGTTGACAGTAATGTACAAGTTTATCAAATGGATTCTCTGCAAACATTGATCATGTGTTGATGGTCATATTTTTTGGTCTTTCTCCACTAAATATTCATATTTTATGTACAGACACATAGCAGGACTTAATCTTCTGTTTCAGTTTGTTAAAGACTTTTGTTTCTTCCCATATTTTTATTATTGCATTATTTTTGTCCATATTGATGGGATTTGTTGTTACATATTCAGGCTTGCACATGATATAACAATATAATTTCACCAATATCACTTCCGAGCATTTTAATTCACATTTTTGACAGATTAGTCTCCAATTTTTCTTCTTGAAATTTCTTTGTTGTATTTCTGTTAAAGAGAAGCTTGGTGTCATAGATAAGGGAGATCATATTTCCTACTTTGTGACTATTTTTATTGCCTTTCTATCCCCCACCCTCTTGTTTTTGTGGCTTCTTAGCTGTGTCTTTGGAATGCCTAACAATATTTTTCTAAGTACAGTCATATAAGAAAAGCTGCAGTTTCAGATGATGTTCCTCTTCTTTGAGAAAGATTTCTACCCCGCTCCACTAGATAGTCAGTATGCTACAACACCTCTTACCCTGACTCAGAATTGTTGACTAACACAGTTGAAAATTGACCAAAGCTCTCAACCAACTTCTGAGGTTCCTCCAGCTGTGCATTCTTGGACCAATTTTTACCTCAGCAGCTTTTCCAATGAGTCTAATATAAAGTTTCTATATTTATTTAGACTTTTTGGTCAGTATGGCTCCAAACTACTCCATTTCACTTAATATTACTAATATTATTAATGAAATTTACATATTGTAAAACTAAAATTGTGTTAAATGGTCAAAAAAGAATTATGATTTTAGTAGGTTAGAAATACTTTTTTCGTCTTCTGGAGAAAAAGGAACGGAGGATCTTCTAGAGAGAAGTAATGGGCCTTGACCTGGTTTTTCCAGTTCACTCTGTTTTCAGCAAAGAATACTTGGCCTCTGTTGAATGTAGAGGGCCCAGTGCTAAAGGGAATGAGCTACTCCTTTCTGCATGGTACAATCAGAAGTTGCAATGCTGCATAGCTTATTTTAATGACTCCCATGTGAATTATAAAAATAAGTTCTGCTATCACAGGATTGAGCCACTCAGCAAGGTGGACATATGGTCTAAGATAACTTGGCAAACTTCTTCTGTAATGGTCTAGATAGTAAATATTTTAGTCTTTTCGGCAATAGGGTCTCTCTTGTCACTTCTTGTCTCTGCCATAGTTACACAAAAGCCCTCATATATGATATGTAAGTGAATGAAAGATGTGTATTCCAATATGGATGGACAGTGATTTTTAGAATTTGCACGTCACAAAATACATATATTTTTCAATTTAAAAGTTACTAGATAAAAGGCTATACATGAACAGATGACAGACTAGATTTGGATGGGTTGTGATTTACTAATTACTGGTCTGTGCCCTGTCCAAAGAACTTGCTGAATGACAGAAATGTTCTATGTCTCTGTTGCCCAATACAGTAGTTACTAGCTACTCATGCCTGTTCAGTGCTTATAATATGATTAGGGAAAATAAGAAATTTAAATTAATTTAATTTGTTTATAGCCATTTACTATGTATTTTTTGAAATATCAGAAGGCAGCAGTTCAAATGTTACCAAAGAAAAATATAAGGGGATGAAAATGCTACTTACCCTGATTTGATCTTTACACATGTAGGCCCCACAAGTTAAGTACATATTTAAAAAGAAATTGTTCACCACCAAAAGCCCTGAAAACAAAAGAATGCATTTTAGTGCTGTCTCACTAAGTGGACAAAATTAAATTAAATTTGGACGAATCATTTATATTCTCTTTTATTATATTCTCCTTATATTTGTATGAAATATTCATTTATTTTTCTAAAAATACCCATGTGTTTGATTCTATGATATTATCCTACATTACCCCATTGGAAGTATCATAAATATCTAGAGTGCACACATCAAAATGCCTTTCTAAAATGTTAATCAGTCTGACAATGGAGCAATTGCAGTTCATACTTACGGACTGAATCAGAAATGTGGGCACAGTAAAACTGCCCCCCTCAACACACACACACACACACACACACACACACACACACAATTATAAAATGGTTGATGAAACAGTTCTGAGAAGGATGACTTCCTCTGAGATTTAGAAGAGTCAATGATAATGACTGCATCAAAAATATTCATCTTTTTTTATTGAGGAGTTCTTATTTCTTAGTGAGCAAAATACAGAATCTGGATCACAGTTGCATACATAGGGAAGAGGGTGAAAGAAGTGTCACTTGTGTGAAAGAGTACTACCCTAGAAATACACTAGAATATGACAGAACAATATGACAGAATATGAAAACAACAAAAATGCATTGAATATGACAGAATCAAGTCTTTCATCTCTGTCCATTTTACCTTCATTCATTCTTTCTCTAACACTCTTCTTTATATAGGTCCAAGTTTCTTTTTAAAATTTTTTATTGGCCTATAATAATTACACAGAATAATAGTACATTTCATTGTGGCCAATTCATAATGCACATAACATAATTTGATCAATTTCATTCCCCAGTATCTTCTTTTGTCCTTCTGTATTATTCCTCCTCTTGATCCTCTCACTAGACTCTACTGGTCTCCCTTTAATGTGTCTTTTTAATATATCTCTCTTTTTAATTTTAATGTATCTCTCTCTCTCTCTCTTTTTTAATGCAGCAGGACCTCTTTTAAATTCATTTTCATTTACATGTATTAGTAGTTCATTCCCCTTTATTACTGAATAGTATTCCTTCCATTAAAAAGAATACCATGAATTTATTCTCTACTCTGAGTGAGATGGAAATTTTTGTTTTTTTCTTTCTTTTGGCTTTTAAAATATAAGTAATATGAACATTTGTGTAAAAATGTTGAGGTGGACTATATTTACTTTTCTATTAAGTAAATACCTAAGACCGAGATTATTGTATAATTTCTTAACTTTATGCTAAACTGACAGACTCAATTCAATATTTTATTTTATAATTTGTGCTTTATTTCCTATGTAAAAAATATTTGCTAGTACAAGATTGCATAATTTGTCTTTATATTTTTCTAGAATTTTAATAGTTTTAACTCCTACATTTAAATTGGTGATTCATTTCAAGTTAATTATTTGTGGTATGAAATAATGGTCATGCAATTCATTTCTTTCCTTTCCTTTTCTTTAGTCAAGATTTCTCTATGTTTCACAAGCTGGCTCCAAAATCCTGGGTTCAAAGCAATCCTGATGCCTTAGCCTCCTTTGCAGTTGAGGCTACAAGTATATGCCATCATGCCAAGCCTATGTGTTTCTCAAAAGTGTCCAGTCACTCTAGTACATTTTTTTTGAAAATATATCTTTCTATATTCAAGAAATATTTGTATCTTCAGGAACCATTACATGATCCAATATACCACTCCTCTGCATTTATCCTAAAGACTTAAAGTGAGCATAGTAATGTGATACATGCATTGCCCTGGCCATGATCATAGCAGCATAATTCATTACAGTCTATATATGGAACCATCTTGAATATCAATCAACAGATAAAATAATAAAGAAAATGTGGTATACATATATATACAACGGAGTTTTGTTCAACCATAAAAAATGAAACTATGTCATATCCAGGAAAAGAGATGGACTTTTCCTGGATATGACATAGTTATATGCATAATGCAGGATGAGAGCGTTATGTTAGGCAAATTAGTCAAACTCAGAAAGTCAAGGGACATATTTTTACTGTTACATGTAGAAGTTAGAAAAAATTCATAAAGAATGATCAGTGGAGAAGACAAAAGGGACCAGGGGGACTTAGGAGGTGAGGAAAGAAGAAGGTGATTAGGGAATGATACTGACCAAATTATAGTGTTATATTATATGCAAGCATGAATGTAAAACAAAAAATCCTACCATTATGTATAATTGTAATGTACCAAAAATGTGAAAAATAGACAATTTTCACATTCTTATTTAAAACAAAAATGGAATATTAAAAAACTTTAGCATTAATTTGTGATCTTCAACATTTCACATTTCTATGGAGAATCAAATTTTGTGATAATGATAAATATTCAGTTAGTTTTTGATGTACATTTTATTATTCCAGAAAGGTCTTATAAACAATATCCTGGACATTTCAAGAGCTGACAAAGACCCATTTTAAAGCAGAATCCTATACAAGATGTGTGAAAACTGAAGTGATAAAATAAGTATTGAGTAGGGGCAGACACTAGCATCCAAGTTTGATGATAAAGAGAACAGAAGGTTTGGTACTTAAGTACTCAAGTTCTCACTACTTCAAATGCTTTGGAGGCACTTCAGCAAGGTGGTAGCCACTGGAATTAAACTCATGTATTTATTACTTTGTTGCCTAATTGGAAATATCACTGCTCTTCTTTGGACAAGGGTTTCTTATCATAATATTTGGACTAAGTAAATTCCAAAATTTCCTCTAGCTCCATGACTTCTTTACAACTTAGTTTATCTGTGTCTGTTCATTGCAGGGTACAACCATAATGACATCACTGACATCTGTGCTGCATGACAGCAAAGAATTCCCCAATCCAGAGAAGTTTGACCCTGGCCATTTCCTGGATAAGAGTGGCAAATTCAAGAAGAGTGACTACTTCATGCCTTTCTCGACAGGTAATAGAAATTTATTTCCATTGGTTTTTATTCCCACTCAGGGGAGAAAAACTTGGGATCACTTAATCTTGACAATGCTTATTTGGGGGCTGGTAGAAATGTTCTTTGCACATGTCAGGAGCAACACTTCCAGTGCCCATGCACTGTCCAAGATCAGGCTACAAAGTCATAACTGGGTCTAATTACTGGGGTGTTGGGAAAATTGACCTCGTTCTTCCAAAGTCAGAAAGCTACAGAGAAAGTAGATTGAGTCATGCCTCAAAATACAACACTGTACTCCCAGAACTTTTCTTAGAAGATTAAACTCATCTCCACTGTCCTCATTTGCCCTCTGAAAGATATCTAACTACACAATTTTAGTGAGTATCTTCCATGTGGCCCGTCTCATTCCTCTGCTGATCTCTAGGCATGGTAAGTATCTACAGCACAGAATGGGCCACCCAAAACATCCCACAACCCAGTTAGTCAAGTAGATGAGGAGATACATTGTTGTAATACAATATGACTAATCCTGTGGGAGAGAAGAAAGGATTGACTGTTCATAATTGCAGAGGGAGAAAATGCCGCCTGCCTTTTCTCTCATACCACACAGTGAAGCATAAAATGAATTGACTACCATTCAAATAGAAGAAAGAACATTAGAGCTGCTTCATAAGAGGCCAAGAAAAAGGACTGAAGAGAGGTAAAGGCATTTTAAGAGACAAAAACCAGAGACTAGGATATTTGCTCTTGATCAAGGATACCAGAGCCTTATGACTGGTAAATGAGGGTCAGCAAACCTTGGAAATAGTGCAGATTATCCTTTAAGAACACCAGACCACCTTTATCTCCCTACATCTAGATCCTCCTTGGAATACAGGACCTTTCATATCTGAAGTGTGTGCTGAGTCTCTGGCATATCATTGCCTGAATTTATTCTTTGACTCTTCAGGCTTGCTTTTAGGTCTGGTACTATAGATACTAATGTGAGAAGAACTGAGCCCTACCTTAATGGAACTCCTGTTTCAGGAGGCTAGAAAAATAGAGAATAATGATTCAAACTAACTGTGCTTCAGTGCTGAGTAAAACCAAAGAGGACAGGAATCTGCAGCTTACAGGAATCACAAAGCGTGTAAAAGAAAAATGAAAAATGTAAAAGAAAAATGGTCTAGGATTTGAGAGAAGTATGAAGTGCATCCTAGTCAAAAGAACAGCATGAGATAAAGCTTGAAATTACATTGTATGTTTAAGGCTGATGAGACTAGATAGATGTGACAAATGGAGGAATGATAATGTTACTTCAGACTGGGAACAAGGAATACAATTAATCAGCATGTGTTTCTGGGAAAAGATTGATGGAAACATAAAATGTCAAAAGAACAGTCTTAATTTGGACATGGTTAAGAAGTTCTTAGTGTAGAGCTGATGGTCAATAAATATTGATGGAATGAAGAGTGTTGGTAAATTAATTATTAGGTGGATATCAGATGTTTCCATCCATTTGTCTAATGAGCCATCCTTTATATTTACTCTCTTAAAAATACTTAGTTTTAGATGAACACAATATCTTTATTTTATTTATTTAATTTGATGTCACACTGAGGATCAAATCCAGTGCCTCACATATGCTAGGCAAGTGTTCTACCACTAAGCTACAACCCAACCCTATATTTACTCTTTGTCTATCCATCTGTATTCTTCATGTGTCAATCAGAAATAAACTGCACAGAATATTTACCCTCTCTTTTGATTATTTCAGGAAAACGGATTTGTGCAGGAGAAGGTCTGGCCCGCATGGAACTGTTTATATTCTTGACCACCATTTTACAGAACTTTCGCCTGAAATCTGTGGTTGACCCAAAGGATCTTGATACCACCCCAGTTTTCAATGGATTTGTCTCTGTGCCACCTGCATACCGAATCTGCTTCATTCCTGTCTGAAGAAGTGCAGTCTGTCTGGCTGCTGCTGTGCTGTCATCTGGAAATCTTCTCTTTGGGGTTCTTCCTCCTCCTCCTCTACAGGCTTGTCTTCTCTGACCTGCTTCTCACCACTCTATTTCTTTGAATTTCAGTGAACATCCAACCCCACTGGAGAGAGTTTCCTAAGTTTCCACAAATGCATGCTTCCTATTCACATACGGTAACACTTGCATTAGCCACTCTATATTTTAACAGTCTTGTGAGTTTTTACTATGGCATCACTGTTAAACCAATGAAAGCCTGGGGGTAATCATGTGAAGTGAAATGAGTCAGGCATAGCAAGATCAAGCCACACGTTTCACTTTTATGTGTAATTTTAAAAAAAGTCACACTCTTAGTGATAAGTAATTGTTATAAGAATTTGGGAAGGGGTGACAATGTGAGTGGATGGGGAAAGAAGTTAGTTAAATAAAGCGTGATAAAGTGGTCCATGCATGTAATCCCATTGATTGGGCAGTCTGAGGTGGAATGATTGCAATGATAGCCAGCCTCAGCAATTTAGGTAGGTCCTAACATCTAAGAGTGATCCTGTCTTAAAATTCTATATAACAAGTGCTGGAGATGTGGCTCAGTGGTTAAACACCCTTGGTATCAACAAATCACTGGTATCAACAAAACAAAACACAACCCCCCCCCAAAAAAAACCTTGGTGATTGCATTGAACATACCTGCAGTAATACAGTAGAATCTATCCATGTCATGATCCTTGACATAAATATATCCATAATGTCCCTTTTATCACGTAACTTAACACATTCATGGGTTAATAGGTTTCAAGGTTTAAGATATAGGTGTTTTGGGATATGAAGTCATTATTCAGCATATGAAATTATTTTTATATCCTATTACTAACAAGATGATTGAGAGAAGGCTTTATTAAGTATCTTGTTCAGGCTCACAAGGAGATGAACCTCAGAGTCATCTGGCTTTAGAATAAAGGTTTCTAATCAGTTTATTTTAATTATTATTGGGTTCAGTATCTTTTTGTTTTATAACTTTATTGGCAGGTAGATAGATAGATAGATAGATAGAATGAGAATCAAAGTGATAGTGTAACCATGGTCCACTTTGTGCTTTGAGTATAATCCTTGCTGCTCTGCCTCTGCAACTTATTGTTGAAATGGACATGTTTCTTTCTCTTCTTCTCTCCCTGCTCCTTAATCTCTCCCTTTCCCTAATCTCAGGGGAAACAAGAGTTATCTGTTCCTGGGTACACACCCACCAAAGGAATAAAGTAATCCAGACTTTGGGGATGGTCCCAGAACATCTCAGAAATGACTGTCTCCCAAATTAAAAAGTGAATTACAACACCAACAGAGACCACATGGAATGTAGTCTTTGAGTCACCTCTTTAAATGCTCCCATGTCCTGTTGATGGGCAGAATCAACCACTGGGATAGGAGTGCCCTGGGCTTCTTTTTTGGATCACAATGTAATAAACCTTCTTTTTCCTTTTTCTCTAAATCATGTCCTCATTATTAGATTGGCATCAGGAACAAAGATTGAGATTTCAGCAACACTAATTATGGATATATGGTAAATAGAAGACAAGGAATTTATTAAAGGAATTGGCTCACATGGTTGTGGCAACTGAAAAATTTTGCTAGGTGATCTGAACTCTGTAGAACAAAGAAAACCAGTGATGTGACTCAGTTAAAGTCTGTGGGCATGAGCATTGGTAGAGTAATGCTCATTTGAAAACACCTTCACAGAGAAACCCAGAAATTATGCTATTGGTTATCACTTAATCCAGTCAAGTGGAAGTCTAAAGTTGATTATATCTCCTTTGCACTTTTTTTTTTGAGAAGGGTGTTCTTGTAAATAAGAGAGAAAAACTCATTCTGTGAAGTTAGCATCATCCTGATAACAAAACCAGGCAGAGACACATAAAGGAAAGAAAATTACAGACCAATATCCCTGATGAACAAAGATGCAAAAATTCTCAATAAAATTCTGTCAAATCACATACAAAAGCATATTTTAAAAAAGTAGTGCACCATGATCAAGTGGAATTCAGTCCAGGGATGCAAGGTTGGTTCAACATACAGAAATCAATAAATAGAATTATTGCATCAATATACTTAAAGATAAAAATTATGTGGTTATATCAATTGATGCAGAGAAATCATTTGACTAAGTATAGCACCTTTTCATGTTTAAAAAACTAGAAAAACTAGGGATAATAAGAACATACCTCAACATTGTAAAAGCTAGCTATGCTAAACCGAAGGCCAACATCATTCTAAATGTAGAAAAAATGGAAGCATTCCCTCTAAAAACTGGAACAAGACAGGGATGCTCTCTTTCACCACTTCTATTCAACATAGTCCTTGAAACTATAGCCAGTGAATTTAGACAGAAGAAAGAAATTAAAGGGGTACAAATAGGAAAAGAAGAACTCAAACTCTTATTATTTGCTGACAACATGATTATATTCTTAGAGGATCCAAAAAATTCCACCAGAAAACTTCTAGAATTAATTAATGAATTTATCAAAGTAGCAGGATATAAAATCAACATTCATAAATCAAATGCACTTCTGTACATCAGTGATGAATCCTCTGAAAGAGAAATTAGAAAAACTACCTCATTCACAATAGCCTCAAAAAAAAAAAAAAAAGAAAAAAGAAGAAAAAAAAGAAATGCTTGGGAATAAACTTAACAAAACAAGTGAAAGATCTCTACAATGAAAACTACAGAACACTAAAGAAAATTGAAGAAGACCTTAGAAGATGAAAATATCTCCCATGTTCTTGAATAGGAAAAATTAATATTGTCAAAATTGCCATACTACCCAAAGCACTATACAGATTCAATGTGATTCCAATTAAAATCCTATCATCATTTCTTGTAGAAATAGAAAAAGCAATATTGAAATTCAACTGGAAAAATAAGAGACTCAGAATAGCCAAAGCAATCCTTAGTAAGAAAATTGAAGCAGGAGGCATCACTATTCTAGACTTTAAACTATACTACAAAGCTATAGTAACAAAAACAGCACAGTATTGGCACCAAAATAGACATGACATGTAGACCAATGGGACAGAATAGAAGACAGAGAGAAAAACCACATAAACACAGTTATCTCATACTAGACAAAGTTACCAAAAAAAAAATACATTGGAGAAAAGATAGCCTCGTCAACAAATGGTGCTGGGAAAACTTGAAATCCATAGGCAGCACAATGAAAATGAACCCCTATCTCTCACCATTCGCCAAACTCAACTCAAAGTGAATCAAAGACCTAGGATTTAAACCAGAGACCCTTTGTGTAATAGAGGAAAAAGTAGGCCCAAATCGTTATCACATTGGATTAGGCCCTGATTTCATTAACAAGACTCCTAAAGCACAAGAAAAAAATATCAAGAATTAATAAATGGGATGAACCCAAACTAAAAAGCTTTGTCTCAGCAAAAGAAACAATCAATGAAGTGATGAGAGAGCCTGCATTTTGCCACATGCACCTCAGATAGAGCACTAATCTCCAGGATACATAAAGAACTCAAAAAAAAAAAAAAAAAACTTAACACCAAAAACCCAAACACCCTAATAAATAAATGAACTAAGGTGCTGAACACACACTTCTCAGAAGAAGATATACTTTCAATCAACAAATATATGAAAAAATATTCAACATCTTTAGTAATTAGAGAAATGCAAATCAAAACTACTCCAAGATTTCATCTCATGCCAGTCAGAATGGAAGTTATCAAGAATACAGACAAAAATAAATGTTGGCAAGGATCGGGGGGAAAGGCACACTCATACATTTCTAGGTGGACTGCAAATTGATGCAACCAATCTGGAAAACAGTATGGAGATTTCTTAAAAAAAAAAAAACTTAGAATGGAACCATCTTTTGATCTTTTTATACCGTTCCTTGGTCTACACCCAAAGGGCTTAAAATCAGCATACTATAGTAACACAGCTCCACCAATATTTTTAGCAGCTCAATTCAGAGTAGCAAAACTGTGGAAGCAACCTAGATGCCCTTCAATAGATGAATGGATAAATAAACTGTGGTATATATACACAATGGAATATTACTCAGCATTAAAAGAAAAAAAAATCACGGCATTTGCAGGTAAATGGATGGAGTTGGAGAATATTGTGCTAAGCAAAGTAAGCTATACTCAAAAACCAAAGGCCAAATGCTCTTGCTGATAAATGGATGCTGATCCATAATGGGGCAGGGAGGGGGGAATGGGAAAAATGGAGGAAATTTGATGGGACGAAGGGGAGGGAGGAGTCTGGAGGGGGAATGGGGGCAGGAAGGATGGTGGAATGTGATGGACATAATTATCCTAGGTACATGTAAGACTGTACATATGGTATGATGGTTCATCATGTACAACCACAGAAATGAAAAGTTGTGGTGCAATTGTATACAATAAATTAAAATGCATTCTGAGGTCATATATACCTAATTAAAATTAATTCATTAGTAAATTAAAACATTAAAGTAATTTACAAAAAATTTTAAAAATAAAAGGGAGTTGAAGGCTACCTCAACAGCTTCAGTTTTAAGGCACTCCATCTGGTAGATCAGTAAGAAACACAAAAAGCAACACAAAAATTCTCTCCTTCTCTCTCTACTTGGTCTGGAAACCTAGAGCCCATCTCTCTCCTCTTAGAACCAACTTTTAATATTCTCTGAGATTTTCCCTTTGACCAACATACTATAGTATGTGCCTGCTTTCAGCTTCTCCTTTGTCTCGTTTTTCTCTCTTGTTTATAAGAACACTCTTCTCAAAAAAAAAAAAAAAAAGGAGATGTAATTAACTTTAGACTTCCACTTGACTGGATTAAGTGATAACCAATAGCATAATTTCTGGGTATCTCTGTGAAGGTGTTTTCAAATGAGCATTAATACATGCTCAATGCCTAGCTGCTATGGCAAAGTCCTTTGTGAGGAGGCTCTGTGTTAGGATCTTATCAGCCTTGAGTTTAATCTCAGACATTCAGATCTGGGAATAAAGGAACTCTTTTAGACAACAGCAATGTGTCACTGTGCCTAAACCTGCCCATATAACAATAACTTTATACAATGAACAATATGTACTAATGATGCCAATGACCTAATGAAATCTATGGATACAAGTAAATCTGGCAGCTCAGACAAACAGCACTTTTACTTTGCCTCTGCACTTTAAATCTGTCTCTTCTTGCTTTTCTATATATTTTGTCCCTCTTATTGCCTCTTCATCACTCTTTTCTCCCAATAACTGTTCAATTTTCCAGTTCCCTCTTCCTCTTTTCAATTTGTAAACTACTTACAGTTAAGTTTTTATTCCTCTTTCTTTAGAGTCCACATTTGTGATCTATCTTCTGCCTCTCCTGTCTTCAATTTTTAAAACAATAAAAAATTTCTCTTGCCTTTATACATTATTTTCTCTGCATACAAGAAATTGTAATTTCATTAAATAAAGAATAATACAGTTTATGCAAATTGTACCTCATTCAGGTTGTAATGACTATTAACACAGCTGGCAATGGAGGCCCCTGCAGTCTAATAAGTGATTTGAACATTTTGACTTAAGTCTGTACATCTGTTGATAACAATAGTGCTATTCCTGGCTCACCACTTCCTCAAAGTGTGGTTGGAAAGTGAGTGGATCACTTTAGGTTCACAGACATCTTGCTCCCAAGCAATACTCACAACAGCTCAGTAACAGTGAATCTCGCCAAACACATATTGTAGCCCCACCTCATCCTTAATATTACTTCAACACATCGACTTCAGGAGACATAAACCTCAAACCAGCAACCAGGCTCCAAGGTGGATCAACCAGGGGGGGACCTCAGGTCATACTCTTGGACCTACTCATATATCAAAAAACAAAAAAAACAAAAAAACAAAAAAACAGAGAGACCCCCAAACAAAGGAGATAACTACACACAAAAAGAGCATAGGTAAAAAACAGAAAGGGGAATCCATCTCAATTGATGTGCAAGATAAAGACCTCTGAAAATGAGGAAACGGATCTTTCTCCCAAATTCACACTCCCCCAACAAAGAATCCCACTGATATGAAAGTGGGTGAAATTCCAGAGAAAAATTATTAAAAAATACTTTCGATTAAAATGTTCAATAAAGTTAAAGAGGACCTAAGGATGAATTAAGAGAGAAAACTGAGGTGTTGAAAGACTATTTCAATTAAGAATTAGCGATATTGAAAAGAAGCTAGTCAGAACTTCTAGAAATGAAAGACACACTGAAACAAACAAACAAAAATTCACTCAAAGCATCACAAACAGATTAGATTGTGCAGAAAACAGAAAATAAAAGCAAATTACCATGAAGCAAAAAAGGGCAGGGGTACTCCAGACTTTTGATTTTTTAAAAAAAATTGTGACAAATATTAAACTTAAATATTTCTTTTATCCCAGGTGAATGCCTTGTTACACAACTTCTAACAATGAAAAACTATAAAATACAATAGAAACATCAAAATTCACCTATTT